GAACTAGACCACTTCATAACACATGAAAAGTACATGAAATTCAAGTTTCAGGAGCCATAAAGTTTTATTGGAACACATCTATACTCATTTGTGGCTGTTACTGAGCTACATCAGAATTGACAATTTGAAACAGTGCCTTTATGGCTTGCCCACAAAGCCTACTCTAATCTCTGAGTTACATACTACATCACTGAAGGGAAGAAGAGAAAAACAGAAATTGTAAACTAGCAACTGCTAGTTGAACTAGTTTCAAGGCTTTGCTGAGGATAAGTGGGGTTATGATTCTTAAGGTAATTAAGTTTGTAATTCATGATCTAAATCAAAGGTTCTCAAACTTATGGAAATTCCTAGAGTCAGTAAATATTTTGGCTTTTGCAGGCTAAGCAGCAAAAAATTTAAAATATTCTGCAACTTCTTCAGGCAAGTTATCAGGAGGGGTTAGTCTTTGGAGAAAAACATGCTTGTAAAGAGGGTCAGTCAGTGAAAAAGAGGAAGACCCACAGAGATGGTTTAACACAGGGGCTCAACAACGGGCTCAAGCACAGCCAAAATGGTGAGGATGTTGCAGGATTGGGCAGTGTCTCATTCTGTTACACAGTGTTTCTATGTGTTCAAATTGACTTAATGGCACCTACCAGTATCTTTGAAAAGCCTATATAGCAGTTCTACTATTCAGACCTGGGATCATGGCAAATTGTAACTGACACAACAATATGCATACTTAATGAGATAAACTGACAAAATTTCTAATTGACAAATTTTAAACTGAGTAGACATTTTTGTTGTTTTTTCAGGGAATAACATTTCCCTTCATTGACGCAAAAGCTAATTTCCAAAGCCATTAAGTGTTTCAGAATAATGATTAAGGGTAGATCTTGAGAAAAATTTCAGCCTCGTCATCAAGCTCAAAAAATTGTAATCAAATTTCACCAATGTTAAGCAATCAATTGTAGGTAGGGCAAGTCAGGATATTCAGCTTAGATTTCTGAGAAAGTCCAAGGAATTGGAAGATACATTCCACAAGAGCAAATGAAAGTCACAGTTGCCACAGTTAGTAATGAATGATAGATTAAAAATTTTGGCCAGGTTTTCACAAGTTTTGCTTATGTGTTTAACTAAGCTTTTCTCTGCTTCACAGTTTCCATCACCACCCATTGCAGCATACCATAGCCAATTGTTTCATGTTGCAATGAATTTTTTCAACTTCTTTAAAAATATTCTTACTTAGAGATGAAATGTGTATCCCACCATCTTCTTTAGAGAGGGACATCACGCTTGGAAAGGTGGAGGATTGGCAAAAGAGAAGAAAACTCTCTACCAGATGGATTGATAGAGTGACTGCTGCAGTGGGCTCTAGTGTGTCAGGAAGTGTGAGGATGGCACAGGATGGAACAAGGTTCAGATCCGTTGTTCATGGGGTCACTATACTTAACTCAGTGGCACCACCACCAACAAATAGATGAAACAACCTTGCTTGCTGAGAGTGAAAACTTGAGGTGCTTGCTGCATAAAACCAAGGACAACAGCTTTCAATATGGATTATATCTCAACATAAAGAAAACAAATATTCTTACCACTAGGCCAACAGGTAGCATTATGATAGGTGAAGATGGAAATTTCATCTTGGATCTACAATAAATAACCTTGGTACATGAACTGAGATCAGGAGATGTATAGCATTGGGACAATTTGCTGTCAGGGACCTCTTCAAAGTCCTGATGAATAATTTCAGTTTAAAGACTGGTGTGCCTGATTCAAGCCATGATTTTTCCAAGCACCTGCTATGCATCTGAGAACTGGACCATGAATAAGGCTAAGAGAAGAATTGATGCCTTTGATTTGTGGTGTTGGACAAGTGTACTGAATATCCTATGGACTGCCAAAAGAACAAACAGATGTGTTTTAGGGAAGGTGCTCCTCAGAGGTAATGATGCCAAAGCTTCATGCCACATACTTTGAGTATGTTGTTAGAAGAGGCTGTTCCTTGGAAAGGGACACCGTACACAGAAAGGTAGAGGTTTGGCAAAAGAGAAGGACCTCAGTGAGATGCACTGAGGTGTTTGCAGCAATGGGATCAAGTGTGTCAGGATGGTGTTGGATAGCAGGGCTCAGATCTTTTGTTCAGAGTCAGTATGAGTCCTAAGTGACTTAATGGCACCTAATGACATACTTGTCATATTTAGATGAGTCAAAGGATAACGCTTCAGTCACTAAAAGCATAGCATTAATACCTCAAATGAAAAAGCATGAGCAGTACTGTAACATCTGCCTTTCATCATGCCAAAGAAACCACAAAATTATTTGCATCACTTGACTGATATTTTTTATTTTATTATATTATTTTTATGTGCGTGTACCATCAAATTAGATCTGACTGGTACAGGAGGAGATTGCCCCTCCTTCCCCGGCAGAGCATCTGGTGGATTCGAACCGTGCACCTCTGGGGTTGTAGTTGCAGCTTCTTGCCACTAGGCCACCAGAGCTCCCCTTGACTGATATTCTTGATGTCCCATACATATCTTGCTGAAAGGCTTAATCTAAAGCTTGTCTGTAGGGACATACTTTAGGCTGCCATAACCAAACAAAATTTCATTAACTCATGATCAGTAAATGGTTTTTCCAAACTGGCTAACCGATGAGCCACTCAGAAACTTATTTTGGTCACAGCTTCCTTTTCATGAAATAATGCCACAACAAGATATTATCATTTCAATATTTCTGACCCTAGCTTGCCTATGAACTGGGAATTCTGTTGAGTGCTGTATGGTAATGTCAAAGTATACTTGCTTTCTTTTTGCTCAGCCATAGATGTTTTGCCATTTAATTAAATATAAAAAATAATTCACACTATACCATGCCCTAAAAGTATAACATTTAAAGTCTATTTTTAAAATTTTTACATGACAGATAACTGTGGTGGTGGTAAGGGATTATACAAGGCCATGATATTTCTCTTTAGTACTTTAGTACTTTGGAGTACCTGGCTGCTGGTATCAAGAGTATTGATTGTAGAGCCAAGCAAACTGAAGCTGTCAACAATCTCAATTTCTTCACCATCTATCATGATGTTGCCAATCGGCCCAGTGGTGAGAATCTTTGTTTTCTTGATGTTGAGCTTCAATCCATATCGAAAGCTGCAGTCCTTCACCTTCTGCAGCAAGCGCTGAACCTGAAGGTCCTCCTCAGTTTCAGCAAGCAGAGTTGTGCCATCTGCATAATGCAGATTGTTGATGAGTCTACCTCCAATCCTGATGCCACATTTCTCCTCACAGAGCCCAGCCTCCTGGATAAGCTGTTCCACATATAGATTGAAAAGATATGGAAATAGGATACATCCTTGGTGCACACCCTTCCCAGTTTTGAACCATGCAGTGTTTCCTTGTTCTGATCTGACAACTGTCTCCTGGCCCAAGTACAGGTTTTGCATAAGCACAATCAAGTGTTCTTGAATTCCTATTCTTCTCAGAGTCAGCCAGTTTGTTGTGATCCACAGTCAAGTGCCTTTGCATAGTCAATGAAACAAACGTAAACATTCCTCTGGTATTCTCTTTCAGCCAAGATCCATCTGATATTAGCTACAATATCCCTAGTGCCACAGCCTCTTCTAAACCCAGCGTGCACTTTAGACAGTTCTCTGCTGATGTGCTGTTCCAGTCATTTTTGGATAATCTTCAGCAGAATCTTACTTGCATGTGGTATCAATGATATTGTTTGATAATTTCTACACTCTGTTATATCACCTTATTTTGGAATGGGAACAAACATAGATCTCTTCCAGTCAGTTGGCCAGGTGGTTGTCCTCCAGATTTCTTGGCACAACTTGGTGAGCATATCCAGGGCAGAGTCTGTTTGTTGAAATATATCAATCGGTATGCCATCAATTCCTAGGGCCTTGTTTTTCACAAATTCTTTCGGAGCAGCTTGAACTTCTTCCTTCATCACCACAGGCTCTTACTCATACGTTATTTCATGGAATTCTGTGTCTGCCAATTCCTTTTCGTATAATGACCCTGTATATTCTTTCCATCTTCTTTTAATGCATCCTGGATCATTTTAATATTCTTCCCAAAGCATCCTTAAGTATTGCAACTCGAGGTTTGAATTTGTTCTTCAGTTCCTTCAGCTTAAGAAATGCTGAGTGAGTTCGGCCCTTTTGATTTTCTAACTCTAGCTCCTTGCACATTTCATTGTAATACTTTGTCTTCCTGTGCTGCCCTCTGGAAACTTCTGTTCAACTCCTTAATATCTTGATTTCTTCCCTTTGCTTTGGCTTTTTGGTGCTCCGGTGCAATATTTAGAGTTTATTCTGAAATCCATCTTGGTCTTTTCTTCCTTCTCTGTCTTTGTAATGGCCTTTTGCATTCTTCCTGGATGATATTCTTGATATCCTCCCACAACTCACCTGGGTCTTCACTCATAAGTGTCCAAGGTGTCAAAGCTGTTCCTGAGATGGTTTTGAAATTCAGGTGGGATAGACTTAAGGTCAAATTTTGGTTCCTGTGGACTTAATTTTCCTCAGCTTCAGCTTGAACTTGCATGAGTAGTTGATGGTCCATTCCACAATCAGCACCTGGCCTAGTTTACAGATACTGAGCTTCTCCAGCAATTCTTTACACAGATGTAATCGATCTGATTCCTATGCATATCATCAGGTGAAATCCATGTGTACAGCCTGCATTTATGTGTCTTATGAAATGTATTTACAATGAATAAGTCATTGATTGTGCAAAATTCCATTCTATCTCCAGCTTCATTTCTGTCACCAAGTCCATATTTCCCAACTATTAAAAACATAAACATACTTAGAAGAGAGGTCAGTTAAAATTTAGTTTGGTAGTAATTAAATTTATTTCAGACAGCAATGGGTAAAATATGAGTTCAGTAGTAAAGTAAATGCTAAACTTTCATGCAATCATAAAAATTATATTCTGTTATTTAAAAATCTTGTGGAAATATGGAGAAAATATTTCTCATTAAGTATTTGAAGCAATTTGTGTCTTCTACAAAGTATCTGTTCTCTGGCGTTTAAGAGGTGGATCTTCATGATTTTCTGTAACAAATACAGAAAATGTATTTAGGTAAGGTACTTAAAATTTGATTATACTTTTGAAAAGCAAGTAATTTAATCTAGTCAACATAGACATGAATACTATATTGTGTGACTTAGGATTTTAATGAATAGCCCTCTATAAACCTAAACAACATGTCATGCTAAAATGTGAAAACTGAGAGAAATCTCACCAACTGAATGGCAAACAGGTCTTCACCAAAATAACTAGAATTTGTTAAACTCCCCATGTAATAAAGAATATAAAATATACTCTTAACATACATAGGTTCTGAAGACCAGGTCTTTATGCAAGTAGCAGTAATATTCAAACTAATGGATGATTGTATTACCTAACTGCCAAGTTACATCATTATATATAACTGCCTAAGCACTCGGGAGAATCATGACTCAGCCAAGCTGACACACAACTTTAACTATCACCAGTGTGGTAGTAATCGGTGTGACTCTCAACTCTGACATTCGTTACTGCCAGACATAAGTCATTAATGCATAAAACAGTTGGATAGTAGATTTAATATTGTAAATGCCAGTGGCTGGGTAACAAAAGAACTGGTGAACCAAGAAAATGAGAACTGAGACTCAAACAGAAACTTGTATACCAATGTTCATAGAAGCATTATTCACCATTGCAAAAGACATGGAAACAGCTCAGATGTCCAACCACAAACAAATGGACTGAGAAGATGTGGTACATTGATACAGCAGAATATTATGCAGCATGCAGGAGCAATCATTTTGTAAATTATTACCGTCCTTGGGAGTGACTGGAGAGCATTATGCTGAATAAACTCAGTCCCACAAGGACAAATACTGTATAAAACCATTATTGTAGAATGAGTATGAGGATCCAAGGCAGGTGGGGGAAGGTGGAAATAGAGGGATGAAGATGGGGGGGTGTAGGGTGTTAGTCATAGGGTTGTACAATTCGATGGGATGTGTGGGGTGAAGGAAATGGGAAGGATCTTTTGTGAAAAACAATGTATTCACACTTTGTAAATAAATCAGAGTAATATAAAAATGGTTTTTTTTTTTTAAAAAAAGGGAGAGAACACGTCTGAACTCCAGTCACAGTTG